TTATCCTATCTGATGGATTTTATGGCCTTCTCTACCTTTATAGATTCTCTTACAATGCTTTTCAAGGATTTAGATGTTTAAAGTCAAGCTTGTGTTTATTTGATTTATACATGGTGTTTTTTGATTTTGGTTTGATATTCCCTTCAAAACGTGTACAACTATTTTAATCTAACAGTTGATTACTTTTGGCTGTTATTGAGTATCAAAAAATGAAGTTTTCGGTAGTATATGAACCGTAGATGTGGATTGAAGTCTCATTTTCCTTCTACTTGTTGTTCCAAACATTATTCTTTATAGTCTTTTGAATTATGTTTTGAGTACTTATAGTTACACAAGGCATTTGTATCTATACAGGTCTTTTGTAGTTTAATTTTTCAAAATAATCTTTCATTCTGTACACTTTGATTAATGCTTTTGACTTGTATCAACAACGGGTCCAAGTTGGCAGTTCCTGATCATATAAGATTAAGAGAAAACTTGGAAATGGAGGATTTGGACACATGAATGCACCAGTCCCTAATGAAAGAACGGGTCCTGGAGCAATAGAGGTATCACATTATTTTTCTAATTTAATTGCTTTTTAACAAAATAATTGTTATTAAAATAATTGTGTAATTGTTTTCAAGTCACAAATGTCGGAGTAAATACTGAATGGGGATTACTTATGACCAGTATCTCAGAAGATAACGGTGAGGAAACACCATTACAGGTTAGTTTTACATCAGAAATTATTAGCGTTAAATTCATCTTAAAAACTACTTTATTGCATAAATTAACGATTTAATTCTAATTTAATAATCATTAGTCTGTTATGGCTTATGATAGGTGCGTTTGAATGGAGTTGCAACATTTATTGGAATAGTTGGGCTTGTGTTCGCTGTAGTTGTTCTTATTGTCCTTCTTGCAAGGTAATTAAAACAAAAATCACCTTTTTACTATAAAATGTTTTTTTTCAAATGATTTATAATTTTTTTGTTTGGTAGGTATTTTACTGGACATAGTAAAAATCCAGATGAAAGCGTGGAGTTTATTAAAATTTTCACTGTTGCGGTATGTAACCCATTTTTTTTTGCAAATTCAAATTCAATATATGTATTTATTTATTTATAGAAGTTTGAATAATTATAGGTCACTATTGTTGTTGATGTGCCAGAAGGGCTACCCTTAGCTGCCACATTAATGTAAATTTATATATATATATATATATATATATATATATATATATATATATATATATATATATATATATATATATATATATATATAGGCCTAGGTTATTCTATTCAAAGTAATTATTGTGTTATTGTATTCATAACTGTGGGCATTCAATTTTACTTATTTTAAGAAAGTGATTAATATATATTATTGAATTAAAATAGATTTAATAAAGGAAAATTGCATATTTTAAGGGATCATAGATTCTATTAATTTTAAAAATCCGATTTTACGAATTATAACTATTTTAATTCGGACATTCTGACAGAATATGTTTATTTATTTAATTATTTACTCAAAAATAAAAATATTCTTGAACCATAAATTCTTGAACTTCTTGTAGAATAACAAATTTTTGAACAATCAATTGAAGAATAAAAACAAAAAATACATTATTTCTTATAGAATACGGTTAACAAATTCTTGGCCCACATTGATGAATACGATAACACAATACTTAATTTAAACAAATGAACCTAGCTATATATATATATATATATATATATATATATATATATATATATATATATATATATATATATATATTAAAATAAAATCAATTGTAGTTTTTTATAAAATTTCAGCATTTAATATATTGTTATTTAATTTTACTGGCTTGAATACTCTATACGTATAATTTATTTCATGTTTACTTTTGCTATAATAAGAGGCTTATGGAAGAATATTTGCATTCGCATCTAGTACAATAATGTACCAAAATGTTCGTTTAATTTTGTCTATTATAGTATCTACTTCCATAACATTTTACTTTATAGTTTTTCCTATCATGAGATTCTAATAACAAAATCTAACATCTTATATTCATGTTTTAACTGTTTTTTAATTGTAGGTTGTGTAAGAACACTGGAAATGTGTGGGGAGATGGATATTAAAGATATTAAAGATGTGAAAGTTGTGGAAAATTAAGAATTATGAATTATGGTACTTTGAAATTAATGTTAAACTTTGATATATGATGTTTTAGGATTTTTGGTAAACTTTGATGGTTGATGATTTTGGTATTTTAAGGTTAATTGTTGGTTTTGGAGTGTATATTTATTAATGTTTTTGTTATTTAAATATTAATGTTTGTTTTGGGATTGTATAATTTATTTGATTTTTTTTCTTATTTTTGTTTTAGATTGGTTATAAAAAAAATCAAAAAAAATATGTTATTATGTTATTAAATTTGCGAAGGTTCAACAACGGACTAAAAAAATATTTTATCATACATTTGCGAGGGATCAACGATGGATTACAAAAATCTGGTATCATACATTTGCGACAGACCATCAACGGACTGCAAAAATACATATGGAGATTTGAGACGGATCAGTGACAGAATAATGTTACTACGTTTTGTCGATGGATGTCCTAAATGAGTGTAGTAAGTAACCATTTGCGATGGAAAATCTGTCACTAAATCGTTGCAAGTAAAAACCAATTTAACTCTCGCCGGCACATTAGCCATGCTTAAATTTGCTATGGAGTTTGTATGTCACTTATCTGTCGCAAACAATCATTAGCAACGGATTGGTCTGTCGTTGAAACTCTTGTTTCTAGTAGTGTTCCACATACACAATAATAATAATAATAATAATAATAATAATAATAATAATAATAATAAAATACATAAATAAATAAAAATCACGTATTAAAATTGCCGTGGACTCTGTCTGAATCAATTAACTAAGACGAGATGGTATGAGCACTTCTCGTGCTCGTTGTGCGAACGTGGCAAGCCTTAACGGCGTCGTGATAGGGGGAACACCGCCCTCCTTCTCGTTTTTGCTCGTTGAGGGGGAAACTCGTTGGCGTCACAACCGGAAGAAACGACATCATTTTCAAACGTTTCATCGACTAATCGTTTGGCAACGGTTCTTTTATATATAAAAAATTAACTATTAAAAAAAATAATTTACCCTATAAATACCTACCATTTTATAAAAATTTTCACACAATTTCTCTTCTTCTCTCTACATACTTTCAATTATCTTCAAAAAAAATATGGACCCTTTCGACTCCTCCGATGATTCAGATGAGAATATTTTCTTCTGTATCATTATTACACTACTGTCCTGCTATAACCAGACCCAGCCCCGCTACTAACAAGACGTGCGATGTTAAACAGAAATCGCGAGGAAGGACACGAACATCTATATCGCGATTACTTTGCGGATATTTTTGTATATGGGTCGAAGGACTTCAAAAGAAGATTTTGTTTGAGAAATGTGTTCCTATGGATCGCCAACGCCTTGGAAAGCCAGTATTGCTTCTTTACTATACTTTTATACAAAATAAATAAAAATCTAGTACATGTTTCTTTAATTTTACAACATATGCAATATATTTTTAAATTGTAGTTAATTTATGTTTAGGTATGAATTTTTTCAATTGAGATATGATGTTAGAGGTAGACGAGGGTTTACAACGTTGCAGAAATGTGTTGCGGCCATTCGTTTGATGTCTATGGGGGAGTCACCAGACACCATGGACGACTATATGAGAATGTCCGAAAGAACCGCAAGGGAGAGTTTGTATACATTGTCAAGGGGTGTTGTTGAAACATTTGGAGACGTGTATTTGCGGAAACATTCGTTGCATGATTTGCAAGAATTGTATGTGGCACATGAAGAATGCCATGGGTTTCCCGGAATGATCGGAAGCATTGATTGCACACACTGGAAATGGAAAAATTATCTGGTAGCATGGAAAGGGCAATACTCAAGTGGTCATCACGGATCACCTTCGTCGGTTTTAGAGGCTGTTGCTTCTCAAGATTTATGGATTTGGCATGCATTTTTTGGGGTTGCGGGTTCAAACAACGACGTCAACGTTCTTGATCAGTCGTCAATATTCGACTATCTTTTGAATGAAAAGGCCCCAGATGCTCCTTTCACGGTGAATGGAAACGAATGCAAATATGAGTATTACCTTACAGATGGAATATATCCTCAGTATTCCACATTCGTGAAGGCATTCCACCACCCGGTTGAAGAACGAGACAAATTTTTTAAGAGAAGACAAGAAGGAGCACGTAAGGATGTGGAACGTGCTTTTGGAGTGCTGAAGGAGAAGTGGCATATAGTTGAACATGCAGCACGACCATTGGATTTAGAAACTCTACGATATATCATGTATGCATGTATCATAATGCATAACATGGTAGTAGAAGATAAATGTTTAAATATTGCATACTATATCCCAACGGAGCCCAGACACGTTCAATTTCAACCAGGAATAACAGAGTATTTGCATCGAGTCGTTGACATTCAGGACGCAAATAAACACAGACAACTTCGAGAGCACTTGGCGGATTATATCTTCTATGGTAACAATAACGATAACGAATAGCGTTTAGTTTTTAAAAAAATATTTTTTTTACTGAATAGAGTTGTATTTTTTTTTGTTTGAATTTGGATGTTATGTGTAATTTAATTTTTATGTTATTTTTAATCTTTAAAAATTGTTTTTATTATATGTTATTTATAATTTTTAAACATTATGTTTTATTTATTATGTTATATTTAAAAAAATATTTGTTTAAATTAAAAAAAAAATTTCGAAAAAAAAAAATTAAAAAAAAAATTATAAAATGGAAAAAAGTTGGTGTTATAACAAGATGCAACTTGATGATCATTTTCCCATTGGGTGTTACAACATCATTGATGATAAGGTGGCATCAAAATAGTGTTACATTTAGTTGTCCATACCCAATACTCTAAACACCGCTCTAGAAATAAGCCGCCATAATCGACATTCCTAGATTTATTTGACTCTTTCATATTTGATCCACATGCATTGTTCCCTAGTTATTATGTTTGAAAATTACGTCTGAAATGACTTCGACTTGTATGGCATTGTTATTTTATTATGGTAACTTCGAGATTTCATTATTAGTTTTAATTCCACTCCTGCAAGTATCATATGTCTTGCTAAGATAAAATATACTAGATAGAAGTCAGTCAATGGTTATAAGATTCTTAAGCCATGGCCAATATAGGTACGCGCTTCTAATTCGCAAACTCAGTTCTATATATTTTCACAGAAAAGCTGCTACTACCATAACTCTACATAATCACCAAAATAAAAAAAAACAATGTCTTCTTCAAGGGTAAACCTAGAAAAATGTCGAATTCCACTAGAGGAGATCATTCAGGCCACAAATGACTTCAGTGAAGAAACTCAAGTCGGAGATGGTGGGTTTGGTATGGTCTACAAAGGAAAACTCTCTGAGAATAACCGCTTAGTTGCCATCAAACGCCTTAATCCTAGTAGTCGTCAAGGAAACGTCGAGTTCAAAAATGAAGTCAAGATGGTTTCAAATTTCAACCATCCAAACATCATCCCATTCATTGGTTACTGTGAAGAGGCAAATGAGCAAATTGTAGTCTACGAGTATGCTACTAACATCAGCCTTGATCATCACCTCCAAGACCCAAATAAAAGGCGTTGCCTGACATGGGTACAACGCCTGAAGATTTGCTTGGGGGCAGCAAGAGGGATAAAGTACCTACACTCTGGTGTTGATGAGCACAGAAGAGTAATTCATAGAGATGTGAAGAGTGCAAATATTTTGCTTGATGATAATATGGAATCCAAAATATGTGATTTTGGTTTGTCAAGATTAAGTCCGATAAATCAGCCAGATACACATGTCCGTACAAGGGCTGCTGGTACAAGGTTTTACATGGATCCTGTTTACAACGAAAGAGGTATGCTCTCTAAAGAGTCCGACATATACTCATTTGGAGTGGTAATGTTCGAGATATCTAGTGGGATGATGGCTTATCATGCAAGGCGATTTGAAGAAACTAAGGATCAAAAATTTCTGATCGACATAGTCCGAAGTTACTATGACGACAACGAGCAACAACTTGTTGGCGGACTTGACAAGTTAATAGATCCGGATATCAAAGAGCATATTTGTATGAGTTCTTTTCATAAATTTAATGAAATTGCACATGAGTGCATTAACTTTGACATAAAGAAACGCCCGAAGCTGGATAGGATCATCAAGGCGATTGAGGAAGCACTACATATTGAAGTAAGCCTTTTATTCGATTTTTTAAGGAAATATATTTTCACTCTAAGAATGAAAAGTGAAAACTATCATGCATGGAGTATATAATATGATAAGTTATTCGATATTTGTTTAACTATACATGCTGCTTATCTATTTTATAACAATATATTTTCAATAAAAGCATGGATTTGTTCTTGTTTTTGTCTGTAAAAAACAAATTGACCCTGTCTAACGGACGTGCAATTTCTTCTTGATCGTGCCTATCTACTAAGCCGATCATCCTTGTCATAGAGTATTTCCTTTTTGCTAGTTTTTCAATAGAATTGTTAAACTTCTGCTAAAATTTGGCCTAACAAATATTCCATAAACTGAGCGTTGAAATTGACAAGCAAGAATAGATCGAAATACTTTTCTATGAGGGATAAACTGAGCATTTAAATTGACAAGCAGGAGAGCTGGAAAAACGTTTATATGTTGGGGCCAAAGGATCTATACCTTTCATGGCAACAAAACACTGAATACTGGGAATTGGGGCATATACCGCAATCAAGGTCTCTCTTTTTCTCTCTCTATGGTCACATTGTATGTTATTATAGTGCATTTGGCGTTCATATACGTTGCCGTTTGTGTAGGTTCCCGGAAGTGTGGATACTTAAAAAAGTATGGTGGCTTTCGATCAACGGAATAATAGCAGCTGTGAAGCTGTCAGAAAAGAGTACATATTTCGCGTATCTCGTCTTTAAAACAACCGAGAATTGCTTGGGACTTGATGTGCCAGGAAATTCAAGCATAATAAGTTTTGGTGGGATAGAAATGGAGACTGAAAATGTTTATCTTCAAAGACCAAATTCTACGAAAACATGGCAAGAAAACTCTGTGTTTCCTCATAGGAGAATGGATGGGTGGATGGAGATTAAGTTGGGAGAATTCGAGTTCAAGGAAGGAGATGATGGGGAAGTTCTCATATCATTTAAGGAGTTTAAATCCGAGAAGACTGGTCTTATCGTGGAGGGTATCGAGATCCGGACTAAATAGTTTTGCAATTATATATTTTGTTTTAATCATTTTTGATGTATAATATATTTATTCAAATTATAAAATTAATATACTACTTTTTATTTAATTAATACAATTAATAACATATTTAATTTATAAATCCTAATTTTTGTTACCGTAAATCATATTTAATGAATAACAATATAGTTTTATTTGTGCTGTTTATCTACTTCTACTACTTCTACTGTATTTTTAATATATATATATATATATATATATATATATATATATATAATATATATATATATATATATATATATACTATTAGTATTTTATAAGAGCATTGGCTGTGGGCAACAAGATAGCAACATCAAGTTGTGTCACCTCACACACCACATAAGCAAATGATGTTATAACACAAAGTGGAAAAATGGGTAACAAGATGCAACACTAACTTTTTGAAAATAAATATGTTTTATTTTTGATTTTTTTTTCGAATTTGGTTTTTTTTACTTTTTCGTTTTTTTTCCTTTTTGCGTTTTTTTAATCACTAACATGAATATATTTTTTATAAAACATAAAATTTTAAAAATAAAAAAAAGACATAATATTTAAAAACTAAAATTACGATTACAATTAAAAAAAACATAATTTTAAACCTAAAATCATAACTAAAATACCATTCAAATTACTCCTAAAACCACACAACAATCCTAATTAACCTAAATAATTCTTTCTAATTTGTTCTTTCATCGCTTGTAGCACCGCTAGATCAGCAGACGCCAAACTTGTCGTGCACCGCCCCCCAATAAGCTCTGTTTTTCCTCCTCCAGTGTCCACCATTGTGGAACGTCTGCATTTTCTGTTTCAACCGCTATCGACTTCCTTTTCGATTTTCCTTTCCCTTTCCCTCTCCTACTACCTTCCGCTTCCACTTCAACCGATTGTTATGTTGTAGGCATTGGTTGATTGGTTGTTTGTTGCATCGAAACAAAAGTAGGCAAAAGATTTTGTTGTAAATTTGGGTTTTGACCAAATAGATTTTGTTGAAGGTAAGTGAGTTGGGAAATTGCAGTAGTGGTGAAGCGGGATTGAAAGCGACGCCTTGGTATGAGATTTGTGGTGATCCTTGAGACGATAAAATGTTGAAATAATTTTCATAACCCGTAAATCCGAGAGACAAGGTTGTGTTTGGGTTTGATGATGGAGGGGGGTATTTGGGTTTTGATCCATTTTTGATTAAAGAAAGTGTATAAAATATAAAGATAATGATAGAAAGATATAAAAGTTGGATTAAAATGAGTATATATATATATATATATATATATATATATATATATATATATATATATATATAGGTAAAAAGGTAATTTTTTTTTTATTTTGAATATTGACCGTTGCAAACGGTCATTAAGCCCAACGTCTCTTTTTTTCCCGTTTCAATACGTCGCAACGGCCACGAGAATTGCTCGACGAGATGCAACGAGTAGGGGGGTGGTGTTCCCCCCGTTATGACCGCGTTTCCGCCTTCCACCTCGGCCACGTCGTTGCTCGTTGAGGCTCATACCGTCCTGTCTAACGTATATACGTTAGTGGGCCATTTTTTTTCTTTTAAGACATTTATATATATACTAATTTAGAATTACATGATTAACAGTACTTTCATGTGATTGGTTGGTTTTTTTTTTCTTTGTTGGGTTTCCTTTAGTCACAGCCACTGTTCACAATTGCTACGTGTTAGTGTTAGGGTGACAGTAACAACGTGTTCTCTCCCTGATTTCACCCCCAGTTTAGCCAATAACAACGTAATTAGTGTCGGTATCCACCCCTTCCTTCCTCTTCATCGATATACCCAATTCTAGGGGTGTTCACGGTCCGGTTTTTTCGGTTTTTAGGTTAAACCGAAGCCAAACCGTTAGTAACGGTTTTTGTCAAGCAAAAACCGAAGCCGAACCGTTGAAAATTTAAAACCGAACCAAACCAAATCATTACTAACGGTTGGCTCCGGTTTGGTTTCACGGTTTGGGCCTTTTAGGCCCATTTTAGTCAAGTCCATTAGACTAATTTAGTAAAAAAAACTATACTATTAAACCTATTAAGCCAAAAAGGTAAATTAAAACAGCAAATATTGTTCCATTACATCAAACATTAGACTAATACACGCAAATTTGTCCAAAAAACATTATCAGGAAGCTCACTTCCAAAATGCTATTCACTTCCAATGATATTTGCTTCAATGACTGTCTGTAAAAATCACAAAGTACACAAAGTACATATATCAGTAAAAAAAATTACGTTTAATACTTAAATAGTTAATTTTGGATAAAATTCATAAATCATTACCCGAATCTACTCCTTCTTGCCGGCGGTGATGTTTGATATAGTCCAACAAGTTTCTTTCTTAATACTTTTTTTTGTGATTATTGGTCAACAAGTTCAGAAGATAAGGCAATGCTTGATGATTGATTATATACTATAACACACAAATGTAAGTCAGCACCAAATATAATGTCAATTTTCTATAATCTAAAAACAAATGCAAAAACTTTCTTTAAAAAATATTCCAAACGAAATGCTACCTGAGTTTGCATATCATCTCCTGTAACAATCAGGGACATACGTTTTCTTCAATGACAACTTGGATTTTATCATTTGTGCCATCTGAAAGATATGAAAGAGCCCAACAAGCATCTGTCAAAACTTCTTCATTTGAATGAATAAGTTGCTGTAAAGCTGGAAGTGCATGTTTTGTATATGAAAAGCCAAGACAAAATCAGAATTCAGAATTATCAATTTATCATTACAAATGTTGAAAAGATAGAGCCAAAAACTATGTGGGTAGTTTCGTCTAGTTCAAATGTTGAAGATTAAACCAAATTACCGTGTGAACAATAATCTCTGTGAATCTGTGATGTTAACCATTTCAGATAATGGATACATCTAGTTCAACTGTTCAAGCACAAGGATTGTAAATTTAAAGAAATCGTGTGTTAAGAATCATTAAAGAAACTGAAGAATACTTGCTGGATTCAACTACTGTTATGAGTAATCAGGGACATGTTACTTTCGTCTGTAAGAGTTGTAAGCGACTAAACGGAACATACCAAATCAGAGAGAAAGCATAGCTATAAGCGACTAACCGGAGCAATCAGAAGACGTGAGTTGTAAGCACCTAAGCGGAGCTGCGGAGGGTCGGACGTGTTTGCGTTCTTCGACTATCAAGTGTTTCTCCAGTTCTCTACGGCTCTACCAATGAATCGATGAACACCAACTTTGAAGTATGCGTCTATACAATTGTAAATTAGGGTTAGGTTACAAGTTGCAAATGACTTACGAGACTTTAGTGGGCTTCACATTCATATTTCTTTCAAATTTTTCACTTCACAAAAAAACGAATTGGGCTGGCCTATCGTTGAGTTTGTCTCCTGTAGGTTTTCAACATTTATTATTTACAAATAAAAATTAATATATATTAAAAGTAAAATTAATTACATATAAAAAATATTAATTTGTATATATATAAATCCTACGGTCCGGTCCGATTTTTATACGGTTTGAAAAACTTGAAACCGCAAGCCAAACCGTTCATTACGGTTTTAAAAGTTTGAAACCGCAAGTCAAACCATAAAGAAAAATACAAATCGCCAACCCAAACCGATGACCGGTTTGGCCGGTTTCACGGTTTCAAACCGGACCATGAACACCCCTACCCAATTCAGTTCCTTCCTTCCTCTTCATTGACGTTTTCCTCTATCCCCACTATTCTCTGACTTCTGCCACCGGAAGCAAACCACCAGTCACCTCAACATCTTCACCGCCCTTTTATCGAATACAACACCGGCTCCTCAAACCTCATCCATCTTGAAGCACCACCGATCGACTACATCTCGACCTCTGCCATGTACTCTTTCAAGCTTCATCGCTTCTTCTTTGCGTGAAGGAATACCTGTTGATTTCCCCTTTCGAGGTGAACATCAGAACATGGACCTCCTTTCCTCTATCGAGACCACAAACGCAATACAATACGTTTTCTTTTCCTTTTTTTGTTTTGATTTTTTTCCCTTTTCCATGTTAACAGCCTGAATTTCATTTCCAACAGTGCTTGCTCTAGCTGTTGGATTTCTCTCTCACACACTGATCTCCATCGTCTGGTAAGGTCTCTCTCTATTAGTGAATTTATGTATCGATTTCTATTCTAATTTTGCTTTCTGTATGATTTTCTTGAGAAAAGTAAAGGTTTTAATATCAAACTTAAACATTAATTTCTAAAGGATTCAGGGTAAGTATTGTATTTTATATATTTGTGTGGGTGTGTTATGAAAAGTATGCAGGTTATGTCAGGTTTATACGCGGGTTATCATACGGGTTATGGATGTATCCATGGTGTTAGTGACCCGAGTATATATCTGGTAGCTGGAGTCTGTTTGTCTCATTCACATCAAGATATTTCACAGAGTTCTTTTTCTCTCGTTCTTTTATCATCAGTTTAGGGTTTGTTCATGTTCAAGAATTAGATCTAGATTAACAGATTCATTTGTTCATATGAGAGTGAGAGATTTATGTAGTAAGGTTTGAGTTGTAATTTGTTTGATGTATAAACCATATGTTTCATAGTGAATGAAATGATGAAGTTGGGAAATCGTTGAGTTGTTTAGATTTTTAAGATGGTATCAGAGCTATAGGCTTCGTTCTTCTTCTTATAACACTCAACGAGTTCGTTCATCACTTAATCATCAGGTATCTTCTGATTCTTTTACGTTTTATGTTTTGAATCTGTTTGTTGTTGATAGATCTAAGTGTTCCTTTAAACTCTTATATTGTTTAGTCATAAACTGTTGATCATTTGATTGTTTTTGGTTTTATTCCTGATCGAATCGAACTTGTTCTTTGTTACGTTATTTCTAGATCCTGGTACTGCGAGTCTTGTTTGTGTGATTGCAGGTATCTACTGTGGGGCTTCTTGTGGTCTATGACTTTTGTATCTCCTGTGGATCGTCATCGATTGGAAAAACCTGATCGATTTGTGGATCGTCATCGATTGAAAAACCCTAATCGATTAATCTTCTTGTCTAAAATAACTCTCTAGGGGTCGGATTTTATCACCGATAAACTCTAGTAGGGAACGGATAAGGAGAGTCAATTCCTTCTTCTGTTATCTTTAGCACTGTGAGAAGTTTCTTGTTCCTTTCTTCTTC